TTCTTTTTAATAGTTGGTTATATCCTTTAATATTATGTGTTGTAATATTAAGTAATAGTAAATTGTCAGGAGTTTGAAACCTAATAGGTAAATGAGAGAATTTAGTATAGTTAGTAGGATGGAGTATAGTATGATGTAGTAATAGTAGGTCTATAATGTTAGTGTAGATATGTGTTTCTTTTAGAATAGAATTAATTGATATTTTGAATAGAAGTTTATAGTTTAGTTTAGTTAAGTATTGAATAAATGATTTGAGAGTTTGATTTAAATTAAGAGTAGTTAATTATATTGTTTTAAGAATTGATTATAACAGGTGACTTCAGTGTATAATGAGGCAATAGTTACTGAAGTTGTATTGAGTTCTTCTGTAGAAAAGGTGCTCACTGTATACTCAGTTTTCATAGTTGTGAAGTTTGCAAAAGCTTGCTCTGTACGTTGAATCTGGCTCCTATCATTCTCCTTTGAAAATGGCCTACAGTTAGTAGAGAACATCATTATTTCAAAGGCAGTAGCTGCATTTATGTATTCTACAGAAGAATTTATTGAAAAGGGGAAGTTTCAGTTTCTGATGTAGTTTTTGGTATATTAGAAGTCTTCTTTTGAAGTTCATTTACAACTTCTGGATCAGCAAAAAGATCATCAATTTCTATTTCTACTTTAGCCTGTTCAGTAGATTGGTTGTTAAAGAAAAGAGACTCCTCAAATTGAATTATATTATTGAATTGGATTTTAAACTTATTATTAAGATATTCTTCAGCTTCAGGATAGAATTTGGTTTTATATTTTGTAAGGATTTCTGGGATGGTAATTGTTGGAGTTTGCTGAATTGAATAATATATAATTAATCTAGCAAAGTAGTGAGTGTCAATAGATTGAATTGTAAGTTTCTCTTTTGCTTCATCCAAAGAGAGATTATCTATTTTTTCATTTTTTGCAGCAGCTGCTAAAAATGCTTTAAAAACTTTGTAGAAAATGAAGTTCTCTCTTTTAGAGTTTGGATCAACTTGGTTAGTATTTGAAAGTTTTTGGTCATAACTATTAGCAAGAGTATGAAATAAATTAAGGGGAGTAGATTGTTTAAATAAAGCTTTATTAGTTTAATCTTTGTTAAACAAAGTCAAGTCTAATGAGATGTCAATTCATTTAGTAGCAGGAAAGTGTTTAAAAGATTCTTTGAAGTAGTGTTTGTTTATATTGTCAAAGTTATGTTCAATTCCAGAAACAAGTAATTTGCATAGATTTTCTGTTATATAATTACAAGTATGAATATGAAAAAGTGATAGCTTTCTAGTTTTTCGAGAACGATCCTGTAAAGAGTGTATCTCCTTAATATTATAATGAGGTGGTAATGCCTTCTTGCAGGACTTTGCAAATTGTTGTGCAATTTGATATTTGAGGTAATTATAAGTTTTCTCTTTATTGATTTTTAGAAATTGGTGACTATAAATCTTAAAGAAATTTTCATATCACTCATCAAATTAAGACTTACACTCTTTGAGAGAAGGTATTTGGAAATTAGTTAAAAACTGAAGTACAGGAATATTAAAATGAACATATATATTAAATTTTTTGTCATTATTGATTGTTAAAAGTGATGCTTTGTATGAATTACTTTTATATACATTTTTGTAGTAGATAAGTTTAAATTTGCATAGACTAATTTCCAAATCTTTTGCAAATTGTTTGTAATCAATTCGTTGAAAGTTATTTGAGAGATATAGATGGAGATGAGCAAGATTAAGTACAACTTAGTTGTGATTTTGAAGCATACTTGGAGGAATAGACTCAATAAGAGAGAGAATTTTTGCATAATTGAGTTTGGTAAATAAAATAGTTGTAAAATTGATTAGAATTAATTTAAAGTTAGTGTATAGGATATCAAAAGGAATTGTAGTATTTGTATGTGTTTGAGGTTTATATTTAAAGATTAGTTCTGTTAGAAATTCAGATTGTTTGCTAGCCATAGTTTTAATAAGATACTCAAAGTTTGCTTGAAGCTTTGATATTTTACTATTAGCTTTTTTAAGTACTTGACCTAGCCTAAAGTTGATAAGATCAGGTTTGATAAAATTAAAGATTTTTTTAGCTAGTGGTATATTAAGATAAATGTTAAGTTCCATTTGAGTAGTAATAGAGAAGTTTTTAAAGAAATTAAAGAGAGAAACTTTTTCTTTTTCTTTTTTGTTATCATCTTTGTTATTATTGTTTTTTTTGATTTCATTTTCATTTTCTTCAGTATCTTTTGACTGTTGTTGTTGTTTGTTTTGTTGTTGTTGATTTTGTTATTGTTTTTGCTTGTTTTTTGAATTTTGTTTATTTTGTTGCTAGTTTTGTTGTTGCTTTAAAGTTTTTTTAGTCTCAGTTTTTGTATAAATTTTAAGAGCTTTAAAGTGTCTAATTTTTTCTTTTGCTAGCAACATTACAATAGCTGCTAAGAGTACTATAATTTTTTGTTCTTTGTTGAGTAGTTTAGTTTGAGGTAAAGGTTTATTTAGGATTATTAAAAGTTTAGAAATACAGCTACGATGGATGAGATACTTGTTTTTAAGAAGAATAGCAATAGTATAATCTGATAAATGCCTTTTGTTTTTGGTATCAATGCAAGGCAAGTCCTTAATTTTGCAGATTATACAGGTATGAGCATAGTAGGTGTGAGCTATGATAGAAATAGGATTTTTGTCAGTATTAAAAACTATAGGAAGTTGAGAAGGATTAAAAAGTTGTGAAAGTTGGAGTTTAGTAATAGGTGAAGCAGAAAGTTCATTAGTGATTGAGTTGAATCATTTGTTCGAGATAGTTGAAGAGATATCTATTGAAGAGGATATAGCAAAAGAACTGAGAGTAGTAGCTTTGATTTTATAGAATTGTGAAGTAAAATTTGTATGATATTTACTACACAAGCAAGTGGTATAGATTGGTTGTTTAGAGATCATAAAGTGGCATTTACTAATTTTCACTCACCTTTTCTATTGGTCGGAGGTAAATCAAATCTCCAATTAGATAGCTACTAATCACGAGCTCGATAAAATTTCATATTACTATATATTTTTTAAAGTTCAAGTTATACTTTTTTTTTTTTAAAAAAAAAATTAAATTTATGTATTATCGTTATGTCTTTTATATTCAAAAAAAATTTTTTTAAAAGACTTTTTTTTCTGTAAGTTACATTTGATCATATGAAGTCAATTATGAAACTAAAAAACTAGCTTTTTTTACTTTTGGAGTTCACTACATAAACGTCTGAGGACAAACACTTAAAGATCAATTGCCAAACCTACCTTTTCAAGTTAGTTCACTATAAAATATAATACAGGTTTCTTTTAGGTACGTATATGCAGAAAAAAAAAATTTTTGTATTAGACTATATAAAGTTAATTCATAACCCAGTCAGGTTAGCTTTTGTAAATTTTCGAGAAAAAATTTTAAAAGCCGAGCAGGTGGATTATTTTTAAATTCATATATTATGACAATTAATTAACTTTGTATGGCCTTATATACAATATATTTTTTAGAGTTTTGGCTAGCAAGTATACTTTCAAGTAACGTTTCACTCGGATAACTTTAAAAATGTAACAGTAATTATTTCACTAAGGAAAGTTAACACTTCTAGTCTTAAGCGAACAATCTATAACTTTATATGAATAATCTCTAGTCTTGAAGGATCCAAAGCGGGCATTTTATTACTTGCATAAGACTAGAGGTTAGATTCAAATTTGAGAAATTCAAAGTTTTATATATAAATTCAAATTTGTATTTATATATGAAATATAGAATTAAAAAATTAAAAGCCGAGCGAGCGGGTTATTTTTAAATTCATATGTTATGAGAAACAATTAATTAACTTTGTATCAGTATAGCCTTAGATATTTTTTTTTTTTATTAAAATATTATCAAATTCTTAACAGCTATCTTGAAAATTATTTGTAGATTTAAAGAATTAAAAAATAAATGTTAGAAATCTAAATTATTCGAATGAGGTTATAATGTTTAATTATTGAGAACCTATTTGTTAGATAATGAATATGAGGCATTATAGTTCTATGAAAACTTATCAGTTATTAAACAATCGAAATTATTTAAAATCTATTTTGTTTTTTAAATTTCAAATTTTTTGGTACAATATTAGAGGTTTCTGATTCATTGTCACTAATAATTTCTGGGACGATATTAACTCTTACAATTCTTACTCTCTCTACTTGAACTGCTTGTTAAAGAGTTAATCGTAGACTATGGATATCATTACTACTTTTGTCTTTTCATTCTGCAGTGATTGCTGCTAGTTCTTCTTGTAATTTTTTAAACTCATATTTTTTTTTATCTTTATAGTTTATAGGATAATAAAAAGAGCTAGAAGAATCAAGAATGTTAGTCTCTGCAGATTGTTGATATTGGGAGAATTGATTATTTTCTTCTTCACTATCTTCAGAGACTTGAAGTTGACTAAGCACTGCGAATATGTGTTTGCATGGCAATTGACGTACTCTGAAATCATGACAAATACAAATATATGATGTAAGATTTAAATCGTCTCTACTATTATTTTTTCGAACAGAATATTCAATATCAGCATTAGTTATAGAACGAATAATCCAGATATCTGAACTAATATTGTAGATATTATTTTGACTAATTTTTGCTCCTACAATCTCTCAAATTCATTGTTGTCTTCGCCGTGAGTTCATCCCTCCTATATTCAAATCATCCAGAAATACAGAAAAATCTATATCCCAGAGTACTATTTCTACAAGGAGGTATACTTCTCTATCAAGCTATCGTTTAGGTCACCCTCTCATATACATATATTTTAATTTATGATGAAATACCTTTATTAAGTTATTCGTATTCATCATGTCTCTAGAAATTCCCCTTAAACATATCATCTACTTATCATATTTTGGTTTCTACCACCTTTCAAAATAGTTAGCAAATTTGGTTGTAGCTTCGATATTCATTTCCTGCTATCTCTCAATTGTCTTTGTAACTTGTTTTAATGCTTCTTCATCATTCTACTTCTCAGTTTTCATTAATCGCCAAAGATCTTCCCAAATAGCTATTTTATAAGGATCTTTATTTGCATTGTGATTATGATTTAAATTTCTGTGCCAGGAATGCAATACATTGAAATGGCATAATAATACAGTGCTATTAGGGAAGCACTCTTCGACTGCCTTAATCTCTTCACCTGCATTATCGATCATAAAAATATCTAGATTCTACTCTTCATTCTTGGCCTTCAAGAAATTAAGCCAATTCATTAGTACAACTAATTTCTTAAACTTGCTAATTAAAAATGCGACTGGATATCTACTTCTAATCATTGGGTGCTATATGATTAGTGTAAAAAGATGATATCCATGTTGATTTAGCTCATGAGTACCATCTAAACACACTACTCTTACAAATTTTATCAGCTCCTTTTGCTTTTTTGTTTGAAAAGCAAATAGGAGCCCTTTGTTTTCATTGTTGTCATAAGTGAACATACAACAACTGTCTGCACAATTTAATTTTTCTTGCTATTTAACTAGAGATCTTAGCTCATTATCATCAAGGTAAGCATATGTTTTCATTATATTATGTACAATAGCATAGATATCATCTTTTGTTACTAAACTATCTTGTAATGACTGGATATTCGAAGGGTCATTATTATTATGAACTTTTTTTACAAGCTGTACATAATTCTGAAGTTCAATTCCTCGATGTCGCAAGAGTCTTTGTATGCTGTAAGTATCAAGCCCTTCTAAAGCACATTGTTTAATGAAATACTGAATATTATTAGATAATGGAAGTGTACATAAGTCTGATAGCTGACCAGGTTGGTGATTATTGTGTTTATAGTAATGCTGCAATGTAACTGTATTTGAATTAATTGGAAGTGCAGCTTGGATATAACTTTTACATCCATACTTTTTTGATTCTTTTTGCGTAAACTGTGACTTTTTATTAGGATCTCTTCTAGCAATACTACTATATGATCCATAACGATGATAATGCTATCGTTCTGTTCATTTTTTTTTTTTCTTTGGCTAATACCTGCTTTATGCTCATACCAGACATAACTAAGTCCTGCTTTTTTAAGATTTTTTATCCATTCTTCATAACTATCAGCAGAAATATAATATGTTTTGGATTTTTCATTATTTTATGAAACCTGTGAGTCCTCATCATCATCTTCCATTTCCTATATTCCCCCAACACCATCCGTCGCATCCATAATTCTATCAATAGTTTCATCAAGCTCATAGTCACTAATTTCTATATCAGATTCTTTGTCAATATCGAAGATCACATCAATATCAATTGGCAATGAAGATATGGTAAGAATTGAAATTTTGAAAAATGAATTCTGGTTTTACTGATAAAACTTCTTAGTAATTTTTGAAGGTGTTTAGATGTTAGAGTAGGAGCAAAAAGGGAGTTCTGGTACAATATCTATTAGACTTATCCATCTTGCATATAATTTTGCTTTTGCATCGTCAAATCAATGATTTCTATCTAGAACCTATTTATTTACCCAAATTCATATCAAAAAGGATATCATATTTTCTGATATCAATCTT